TTTAAAGGAAATATGGGAGTACGAAGATTTGCTCAACACTATACAATGTAGGTGGGCAGTAATAGATTCATTACATTGGGAGCTAGACAGTGAGTTGGAAGGTTCAAATGAAGCATACGAAGAAAGATTTACAAACTACGAACAGTATTTATAGAGACATAAAAAGGTAAATTAATAGCAAAATATTGTCCATGGCACACAAGGAGAAACTGACTCCGCAAATGGAGATTCCAATTTTTAGTGGTACATATCATCAATGGACATCCTTTAAAGATTTGTTTACAGAAGTCATTCATAGTAACTCATGCATATCTAACGCGCAGAAAATGCAATTTTTAAAAAGTAAAGTTCGTGGAGAGGCCGAACGATTAATTCAACACCTTTCGATTAGTTCAGAAAACTATACCACCTGTTGGGATATTCTAAATCATAGATATAACAATAAAAAACTTATTTTTTCATCCCACGTGAATATTCTTTTAAATATTCCCGTAACGCAACAAATATCAATTAATCAAATAAAACGCCTACACGATACTACTTTAGAGAGTATAAATGCAATCAAAAGTCTTGGGATAGACGTAAGCACATGAGATCCATTATAAGTTCATATTTTATCACAAAAATTAGATCAAGAGACGCACTCGGATTACTTGGAATCATTAAAAGAACCAAGAGAACTTCCAAAACTACAAGATTTTTTAACATTCTTAGAAAGTAAGTTTAAAACTCTCGAATCATCTCGAAAGAAACCCAATAACAATTCGCCGAAGTTTCATCAAAACAGTAACAGCAATTGGGTTTTTGAATAATTTTTTTTTTGTTATAAATGGAAAGATCATATATAAGTTTTATAACAAAACTATTTTTATTTATTTTTTCTTTGCAATAATAAAAAAGTTATTTCAAAATAAAAATTAAATTTTAAATTCAGTACCGAAGATCCGCCGACAGCTCCCGAATAAATCCGAGCGCGTGTGACGTCACAATGTTAGTTTTTGCTCATTGCAGCATGCAGAGATATAATAATAATTAGTACAGTGTTTTGGGTTTTTATCTAGTAAATTCTGTTGGCATTGTTAAATAATCAAAAATGTTAAAACTCAAAAGTTATCGCTCTTGTTTTGTACCATTATGTACAAATACTACAAAAACAACTCCTGAAAAAATGTTTTTAAATGTTCCACAAGACGAAAAACGTCGAAAAAAATGGTTTCAAGCAGTGCTCCGAGATTATTCAAAAACAAAATCAATTTTTTTTTGTTGTGAAAATCATTTCGATGTAAGTATAATAATAATATAATCATAATAATATTGTTATTAATTATTTTATATCTAAGAGTATAAATCGAATAAGTATAGTTCAGTAATTAATTTTTTTACCTGGGCTCCAAATCATAACCTTTAAAATCGTAGCATTAAAATTTTTTTTATTGATAATTCAAAGCTATTAAATAGTAAATCTATATGTATGTTTGTCTAATAATTGGAATTCAATTAATAGATATTTTCATAATTTTATAACATTCTAGGTTCTGTATCAGACTACATTTAAATTTTTAAAGTATATGTTATTTTGGTTTTTTATAATGTTATAATAATATTTTATTAATTCTTCTTTTATTATTCTTCTTCTTAATTTTTCATTGATAGTTAGAGTAACTGAGTAAGCTTTACTCCGAACTCGGTGTTCTGGACACACACGTCCTTTTAAAACACAAATACCATTCTTACGATTAAGTTGACCATAACCTATAGCTTTATCACCGTAACTCTCACGTGATGCTCTACAATTAATGAAATAATCATTAATTATATTTAATAGAAAATAAATACTTATTTTCATTTAGAATGGTATTTTTAACAGATTTACCTTGATGCCTTAGCACCTCGAACTTCAGCAGAATTAAACCGGACGTCATTTTTAAAAAAAATTGTTATAAATATATCAACATCAGGAATATTTTCCGATTTTGCTTTTATAAATCCTTTATCACATATAGTTAGTCGAAATAAACTTTTCAAATCGTTTTTCACTAATAAATTTGAGATATTTTTATCAAGTCAAAAATAATAGCCATAAACACTGTACTATTATGAAATTGCTTTAACATTATGACGTCACAAGTATGCCGACCAATCATGGCGCGTTTACAGTCACGTGATTTGTTTTTGAATTTTATAAATTTTTAATTGTTTATAATTAATTAAAAAAAAATGTTTTCAAGTTTTTTGCATTAAAAATCATTATAATTAATAATAAAGTTTTAAAATACATAAAAAAAATCAATACTTTTTTTTTTTTCAAAATCCCAATTATCGTTCATCATCATTCAAAAATAAATCTTAATTTTATAATTCATACGGTAATAATTCAAACCGCAACAATAAATCATTTGTAAAATCATTACATGTAGCAGGTATCAAATGTCAATTTTGCAATAACAACGAATTGGAATTTTTAATTGCGAAAAGTTTTTAGCAATGCCTGTTGAATTGAGGTTCAAAAGGCTAAAAGAATTGGATTTATGCACTAATTGTTTATATAAGCCTAGTGGAAAACAATGCAATTCTTCCAAACGTTGCCGTATTTGTAATGGAAAACATAATTCGGTATTGCACGACGGTACGAAATTTTACACCGTTGCCCAAAGTAGGCCATCGACTAGCAAACAACAAAATGACACAACAAAGGCTTCTAATGTTTCACAAGGCGACATATCGGAAATTCTTTTAGTAACTGCCTTGATTAAAGTCACAGCATCAGATGGTACTCAATTAATCATGCGAGCTCTTATTGACCAGGGTAGTCAATTGTCCCTAATTATTGAGAACGCAGCGCAGAGATTATCGCTTAAAAGAAATCAGTACCCAGGAGTTGTATACGGAGTAGCAGAAAGGGAACTACATTGTTAAGCCAGTCACATTGTCCTGTCAATCATTATACAACTATGTGTACCAAGTGTACCTATGTGTACCAAGTGCAATAGGTCAAATAATGCAAGCATAATGATAGACACTTCAAGATTGTAAACTTTTAATTATTATCAATATTGTCTAATTTTATCTTTTATTTTATATGTGTTGTTTGCTTTTCTTAAATATTACTTATGTTATCTTATTTTATACCATAATTTGTATACCTTCATAGCATTTATAATTTTTTTCTTTGTATTTCTTCCTGTCGGGAGTATGTATGGGTTCACCCATACATTAACATAATTTCATTGTATGTACACATTCATTAGCAATATAAATGTAAGCATTGTCATAATTTAGTCAGTATCAATAAAGCGTTCAAATAAACAGTTCGTTCTCATTACCTAAACGCGATACTCACAAACTAGCTGGTCTCCATAAAACTATCAAATCTAAATGGTGTGTGGTATCAAACCCATACACCAACCAAAGTCAAATTATTTCGACGCTTTAAAGAGTTTGTCGTTAAATGACGTTACATGGAGTCGAGTGACGTTACATGGAGTTTACACTGTATCTGCATACGTGCTCGAGATTTGTAGATCGTCCTTGAGAATTTTTGTATGGAAAATAAGCAAAGTGGTTGTGCATACCGCCGCTCTGGCTGCATAGCGGCGCTAACAATTAGCAGGGGCCGATCGAAAATGTTTCGTTTTATTTTTATAGATGACATTTTTGATAAGTTTACCAAATCGTGAATCAAATTACATATGTACATTAAGACCCAGTTTCACCAATCAATGTTTGTTTTATCTAAACCCAACATTTACTAAACAACCTTCAAAATTATAAATGTCTGTTAAAATATTTACGTCCCACGATGACAAAATTAACAACGCATTATTAAACGTCATGTCAAATGACCGACTACCGAATTATTCGTTCTTGTTATAAGACGACCAAGTGGAAACTATAGCGTTTAACACGGCACGTTTGCCACGATGCACCACTTTATACTTAGATCGTATATATCCCTCGATACGTCACTTGTAAGCTAATGCGACCAAATTTTATTTATCGTTGATTGCATACATTTAGCACACAAAAAGTTTTCTTTTCAATTTACTAGGTGTAACTTGTCAAAATCGTGTTGTCAATAAATTGTAAATTATATATATAGACATAAATTGTGTTCAAATTATAAGAAATAATAAGAAAACTTAATTTGCAATGTCATAAAAAAGCTGGAGGCAAAATCATCATACTAAATGAAATTTTAATTCACTTTATTAATAAGTATTAAGAAATAGTCGAAACTGACAAAATAGATGACGTTACTATGGTTACAAGAAATCAGGGCTGTGATTGGACAATTGAGTTTTGACAATGCCATTAACATTCTGTTAGCCTTTAGACGGAGCTCCAGAGCAGGAATTAATATTAGTGGCTGGTTAAGACATTTAAACGGACATTAGTGTGTGGTGGGACGCTCGATACATCTAACAGAGCATCAAACGCCTTAACACGATGTTACTTATTTAGCATTGATTGGTAAACAATCTCTGTGTATCTTTCTATCTCTTTAGCGTACAACGTTTAACGCAACCTTGTTTCAAGTTGCGTAATAAGTTTCACTTTAAAAAAAATCTACATATTTGGATAATAAAACAATAGTTTTTATAATTTTTTTATTACAGCAAAATACACAAAAAAGTATATCTTCATTAAAATAACATCGGAAAATAAGACTAAGATACAACAGATTATTCTACAAAGACTATACAAATATATCTTAGTATAGAGTTATATTATAAAATGGAATGTAAAATTAGCCCCAATATATACATCATTTGAAGTACCTCAAAATTTTTTATAAGAATTATCACAGAATAATTTGAGGCTTCAAATATTGTTTAGTTTTCGAAAAGGCACTTCCGGTTTCAAAAAATATATTGTCATTAAATTCCGAGATTCTATATATCTACTATCACGTATTTTTGTAACCAACATGGCAACATTACGTCTTTTGCTAAAAAAATAATATATTGCATTCATTTATTGTATGGTTATTATTATTTTTCTTAATTTTTCTTCAATGGATCCAAATTTTCTATTGAAAAATCGTCGTTGCCGAAACTTATACCTCGGCTAAAGCCATCCTGTGAAAGAAAATAATAATTAATTTAATATAACTAAAATTTATTAATCTATCATTACTTAACTTACCGTTTATCAAGCTATTGAACATATAAAAATTTATTAAAGATTTGATATTAAAAAAATACTCTAAAATTATATATTATAATATTATTTCTTGATTAAATTCTGCTATTGGTTTAATAGTTAATTTTAGACTAGACATACATATAAAACAAATCTTTTTGTAAAGTCAGTAAAAAACACAATTTACTAATTAGTTATATATTACTCTTATGTATTAGTTATACTTGTTTATCATTAAATAATATGATGTCAAGTATAATGAAGATCACTTTATTATATTAGCTTTGGTCAATCAGTACTTATTTACCACAATATATAATCCTACTAATATTATAATTGCGAAAGTTTGTATGTATGTTTGTTATTTCTTCACGCTCAAACGGCTGGAATGATTTTGATAAAATTTTATATACAGGAAGCTGACGTCCAGGAATAACACATAGGCTACTTTACATCCCGGAAATCGAGTAACACCGCGTGGCGCAGCTAGTATATATATATTTGTATTAATATATTACCTTCATTTCAGATATGGTCTTATCAAGAAAACCATTGAAGCTGCTGTTCAATTCGACTGTCTGTTTGTCACTCAAGTTACCGAAGCCATTGAAACTATTATTCAAGTTTCCAAATATATTCGATGTGTTCTGAGTAACAAATGGGTCGTAATTTGTGAGGCCATTAGTGAATGTGTTGTTGAACACTGAACTTTGTAAGTTGAAGTCGCTTATATCATAATTTGGCTTGTTTTGGAATTGGTTCGGTGATTGTTGTGGTGTGAATGGTGATGAACCGAATAAATCACTGCCGTTTTGCTGTGGCTGTGGTTGTGGCTGTTGTGGCTGTGGCTGTGGCGATTGTGGCTGTCGCTTCGATGCTTTCGGTGGTGGCGCCACTGTTGATAAATTTGTATATTAGTATATTGCATAACATGTTAATGTACTATTGTCTTGTAAATTTTACAGTTAATATGCTGTTGGTTGGTGATATTATCATGATTATTGAATAACAAGTGACTTATAAATTATATTATATTAATATAATAGTACTAACGTATAAAATATGCTAAAAAATGATTAATAAAAAAATACCTAATATAGGCATTATAAGTATACATATACATACTGGGTTTTTTTTATAAAAAAATCAATTGCATTAAAAATTATTTATTAATTATTAAAATAAGAAATGTAGAATATATTTTGATTATCCTATTTTTATCTTATCTTTAAACTTCACAAATAGTAATTTTCCCTTATAGTCTTATTTTATTACCATTAAGTTAGTTAATTTATATTAGTATATAGTATGTGTATAACTTACAGAGCGGCGGCGCTGTGACCGGGCATCGTGGGCTCGGCTCTGACTCGAAGGCTCGCGGGTCGAAATCTAATATAAGAATTATATGAAAAACGAAATATATACTAATTATGAACCAATAGATGTTTATCATAGAGAAACACATGCAATGGTCTCTTAAATTGGCAACACTTATAATTATAATTACTATTTATCTGACTTAAATAGTATTAAATATTTTAAATGTGGCAACATTATATTAAATAGGTTTTATGTAGACTTTAGCTGTATATGTACTTGTGTTCTATATAAGATTTTTTTATGGGGAAGATTACAAACTAGCTGACTGTCTACTTGATGGGCGATAAGTCGCCCTTTTAATAACTAGATGCGAATTACGAACTTAAAACATTCCACCTTGCGTTTCGATATCGAATACATATTTTACTCTTTGTTATTATATCTAGTGTATTGATAGTTTAATTATTAGTTTTTCTCCTTCCGAACTGTATGAACTTTAACCTTTCTGTGTCAGTCTTGTAACTTTCTTCTGTGTGCGATTACATTCTAAACAGTGTTGTGGACTTTTATTAAACCAACGTAACGGACATTAACATCTCCATAGATATATGGACCTTTATTGATAAAGAAAGAGGAAAGTGTGGGAAAGAGAAAGGGCTATCGTCTCTCTCACTCATCGCACGAAACGATTAATTAAAGACTATCTTCTGTGAGAGGGTTAGAACTTTCCCGGTTGAGCCAAACCATGTTTGAACATAGTAACTTAACCACAACTAGGCTCTAGCAACTATTAAATTATCCTACTAATATTATAATTGCGAAAGTTTGTGAGTGTGTGTATGTTTATTACTTCTTCACGCTCAAACGGCTAAAGCGATTTTGATAAAATTTTGTATACATGAAGCTGACGTCCAGGAATGACACATAAGCTACTTTACATCCCGGAAATCGAGTAACACCGCGGGGCGCAGCTAGTATATTATAATTCTTACCACTATCAGAGTCTGAATGTAGTAGAAGTCCCTCCAACTTAGTGCCCACAACTGGATTCTTATTAGTCAGATCACCGAGGAGTTTACTGAAATATATATAATGTAGTTATTAGAAAACTAATACATAATAATCTACTATATGTATATATAATAAAAAATAAAGAATTTAATAGTATAATAATCTTGAATGCATTTAATGAAAACTTAATGTAACATTCTAATATGTTCTAACATGTATTGAGTACAAATAAGTTATATAACAAAGTTATTATAATTCACATTGCATTTTGCATACATTTTGACTGAACAATTTACTTATTAGCACTTATACATAGGAGCCATCAAGATACACACACACACACATACACACACATATATATATATATATATATATATACACATATATAGCATTGCCAGGCGTCCGGATAAAGCCGAACATAGTTAGGCTTTTGGATTGCATGTCCGGCCAAAATAAACGGTGTCCGTCTTGTCCGGTATTTGTTAGGAATAGAATTTAAAACATTTGACATGTAAGAATTTTAAAAACTACATTTTGAAAGAAACTGAGCTCTTAAAGCAGGTTTCGACAAACGAAAAATATTAATAATTATTTTATATATATATATTTATTGTGTAACTCGAAGAAAAAATGTATTTTTTGTTTAGTTTATATTTTAACTTAAAGAGAAGTTATTATTTATTTTTTTAAGTTAAAAAAGTATAATTTGAGCCTTTCTTATTATTTAAGAAAAATTCAAGTATGTTGATAACTATTTAAGTATCTAAATTTTAATTTTGACTGATGACTATTTGACTGATTAATAATAAAGTATCTATTTAAGACCGATTTGGCATCGATTTTATTTATTATTTCACTAGAAATTAACAAGATTTATGATAATAATAAAAAAGACTTGATTTTACATTAAAAAAAATTGTCGTACCTATTAATACTAAGTTTGTCTTAATAGGTACGGCTTTTTTAACCAAATGTCCTGACCTACAATATATATATATACAGTATATAGTAGTACATAACATACCCCGTGTTGTTTCTACCGTTGTGTGTTGGTGGCGGTGTTGACAACAGTAAGTTGTTGTCGTTGGAACTGAATGTGTCCACCGAGTTAGTGGATGTAGCATCACCTGCAATTATATATAAAAACTATTTAAGAAGATTTTATTATCTATATATATAAGAGATTTCCACCTATATATTGACTCATCACGATATCTCTGGAACTATAAGGCGTAGCGACTTGAAATTTGGTAGGATTATTCCTTTCGAGTAGAGGTCAGCTTAGAACGGATTTTATGAAATTTCACCCACAAGAGGGGTTGCGGGGGGTTAACAATGGAAAATACGCTTTCAGGACTAAACCACTGTACTGATTTTAATGAAATTTGGTACAGAGATAGAGTTGACCTCGAGAAAGAACATAGGATATCTTTTATCCCAGACATTTGTAAGGTTTTCTTGGAAACGCAATATAACGGAACTCCACGCGGGCGAAGCTGCGGGCGGAAAGATAGTTATATTATATTTATGTTATTTTTTTTATATTTCCGACAATGCCAATGTAATTTTAATTAATAATAAAATATAATAGCTTACAGTCTTAAATATCTTTTTTGTCAGAACATAAAGAAATAGCAAAATTTGCGATCCATCTATTTACGTCTATTTACCAACAGATGGCGTTACTGTCAATGTGCTTATTACATTTAGCCAATGTCATATACAACATGTAACGTAATTAACGCACACCCTCAAATACCCCAATGAGAATATAATAATATAAACGCAATGCATACACCAAATATTATTTATATGTGCGTTTGCATTTTTTATTTGTGAAATTAGTTATCCCAATTTCGTGCAAATAATATGGTCAGCTATTCACCAACACTCCGATGCACACGCACACACAGACAGACACGCCCGCGCCCCTCTCTCCGAGTGCAATCCGTCAATAATAAGAAGTAGGTAATAATAAGAACACGAAATAACTAGGTACATTATGATTTATGATTCTTCTCTCCATCACACTTTTCAGGCTTAAGATTGTCGACATTGAATTTTTTTTAATCTGAAGCCAATATTTTATAATTACTGATTTGTTAAATTAAATTTGTTAATAAGAATTATTAAACAGCTGATAACGCGTGCTTTGATTAGACACCACAATACCTACGACAAAGTCGGCGTGTTTAAATGGTGGGAATCAAAAATTAACAATAATTTAAAGATCATAAACAAACTTATAGTTTAATTTGCACTCGCACGGCGTTGTCGTTTTAAAACATTTTCAAATGTCCACCGCCTTGTTCAATGCACTTTAATGACCGCTTCCGCAATTGTGGTTTTATTATAGATAATACTGCAGTGTTACTTTTCACTTTTACAAAGGCGGTTATAACCTAATTTTTTAGTTCCTCGAAACTTGTTGTCTCTGTGTTATAAACTAGCGATTTAATTCGCCCCCACAAAAAAAGGTCGAGTGGCGTCAAATCAGCTGATCTAGGAGGTCAATGGACACGTGCGTAGGTATTTGATGTGTGCCGGCTGTCGCTGTTGGTGTTCCGTGTGTAGGATGACTGTAATTTACTTAGTTCTATCTAAATTTCAGAAAATAATGACCTACATAAAAAAACTATAAAAATCGATCCAGATACCAATTCTGAACAAACTACTTTCAGGGTGTGCGTTAATTATGTTACACGTTGTATATAACTATTGCACAGTATATACAGCCAATGTTATTATATAATAATATAATATAAATACCGCTGTCCGTCTTTCCATTAGCTAGTGTTGTATTGATAGCCGTCAGTTGAGCATCTAGTTCGGGACATTTGAATTCTGTGATATCTGACAGACTATGACGACTGAGGTAGGCAGAAAGATCATCCTTGTACGTTATTTTTGATAACTCCTGTAAATAAAATATTGTATATAGGTTAATCTTTATATATATAATTCTTCTGTGAGTGTGTATGTCACTGAACTTCTCTCAAATGACTGGATTTTGATGAAATTTTTTGTGTATGTTCAATGGGATCTGGGAATGGTTTAGATTCACAATTTTTTCCACTGGACAATTTTTTTTTTAATTAATTTTTAATTTATTAGTAGTTGTTGATAAAAACGTTTTTTTTACATTAGATTTGACAACTAACTAATATGTCAATCATTCTGTCGCACTTCAAAACACGGAAATTTATGGCTTTAATAGGTAAACTCCAAAAATATAAATAAAAAAACGTAACGGATGTTTCTTGATTATAGGGCGATACGAAGTTCGCCGGGTCTTCTAGTATACATATAAATGCCAAAGTAGCTTCTTGTCTAATATAACTACAATGATAAACAGTTAAGTTTCAGCTCTCTTTTTTATTAAATTATTTCTCTTTAGTTAATTAATTATTGTTTATGAAATTAACAATTGGTGTTGTGAATTAGTCTCTTCTTTTTAAAAACCGAATCCAAGGGGTTAATCTACTGTTTATTAAATTATAAATACACTTTATTTACCTGTAAGCGATTCTTGTAAGCGTTCATTTGCATTTCGAGTTTCTTGTTCTGTAAGGTCAGTTTTTGCATTTCAATGTATTTCCCATTATCGTTCAAAAACCGCCTGAAAATTATAAAAAAGATTTCTATATTGCCATTATTTTTTATATTTAAAAACTTAAAATATGTTTTATTTGCAATATTTATAGTAATAATGACATATACAAGTTTCCCTTCAAATATTAATATTATTTCTCTCATATGAGATTAATTTAGCGCTCAAATATTAAATAAGTAACTTTGTATGACAAGTTGAGGGACATCATATCATATGATATGATATAATTCATATCATTATCATATCATTACCTGTAAGCCAAGTCGAATGCCTGCCCTATAGTGAGTGTTATCTCCGAGGCAAGTTTAGTTGATATGAAAACGAAACATTCATGTTTTTCCGTTGTATCGTGGCCATTGACCCCGTTGACAGTGCTGGCACCTATTGATAGATATTAGGAATCAATATATAGATTAAATAGTAAGCAGTTAGCTTATTAAGATATAAGGGAATATTATTTAATAATAATAATGCTTATTTATCCCAAATACATTACAATTGTATAGACATTAACATAATCTGATTACAATGCATAATGGTAAAAGGTATTATATGTAAATAAAATCTACTGTCCCTGAACTAGGTATAAATCAGTATTTCATATTTTTATGTAGAAATTTAATTACTGTATAGTTTTATGAAATATTAAGCTTATGTGTGAATGATGAGCAAATATATGTATGTACATTCTAACATATATATCTTATATATAAAATTCTCGTGTCGTGTTAGACAGAGAACTCCTCCGAAACGGCTGAACTGATTTTGATGCAATTTTGTGAGCATATTGACTAGGTCTGAGAATAGGCCAACATCTAATTTTTTACCCCTAAGTCACAAGGGGTGTTCACCATTTCTTTTTCATCCAAAATTTTCACTTTTTTATCACCAACCCCTATTTTTTTATATGGTCTAACAAAATTTGCCGGGTCAGCTAGTATGTATATATATATATATTTAGTTTCTAGTACCTTTAGCTATAAATGAGAAGTATTTCTTAGCTCCTTTGTCATCAGCGCAGTATGATATCCGATGCAGTGGGAACTGGTACATCACATTGTTTGTTCTCGGCTCCTGGGAATTAATTAATTAATTAATTTGTTAAATTTATAAATTTAATTAAATAATATATATGTAATAAAAATTTTGTTAAAATGTAGGTTATTGCTGATATTATGAATCTAAAGTTAAAACTTAAGTTATATATATATAAAAATATGTTTGTAGAGAGAAAACATTTTTCTAAGTTACATTTTGTAATATTGTAACTATTTTTGGTGGATTTATTAATATTTTTTTATCCATTTAGTTATAGACATTTATTTGTTCTGATCGAAACATGAAAATATGTATTAGCTTACTAAAAATTATAAATTATGTTTATATAGAAAAATGGTAAACATAACTATCTTTTTAACTTCGTTGTATAGTAATAAACAAAACTTCTCTCGTTTTCAGTAACATCAACTTTCTCTTAGACATAGTAAAATGATCCGTGTAATAAAACCCGTCAGATAATAACTAAGGAACTTGATAACAAACTTTCACTGTGAATTGGATTTTTTAAATTAATATTTACTATAGATTTATTAGTTTATTAATACATATTTTCTATTTATTTCTGAATGGTTTAAACATTTGAGGGATTTAAAAATATATATGACATTTAAACGTAATTTGTTTGACAGTTGACAGTTGATTTTGGCGCCAAATTAAGAACGTCATTCATTAATATAGTCTAAAAAAGTTGATTTGTTTAATACTAACGTCATCATTATTGAAATAAATAATATATAATAATTTATTACAATCTATATGTAGTTCGTTATAATTTTTTGGGGTAACCTAATTCAGTGTGAGCACAGCTTAAATAAAATTCCCGACGTAACAACAGGAAGTGATTATAACAGCGCTCGTTACAGTGATGACACGAATTGCCGCTAATATAGACCGTTTAGAAAGATAATATCTGGTTATGAAGTTTGTATTACAACCTCCATGGTAATGAAATAGATTTTTTTTTTAATTTTCAACCAGTATGTACTCGAATTGGTTTATAAATAGACTATATGAAATTGGAGTTCCAAATTCAAATAGCAAATTATCGAATGATTTATATATAAACAATACAAAATTGAAGTTCCAAATTCAAATAGCAAATTATCGAATGCTTTATACATATATAAACTATACAAAATTGTAGTTCCAAATTCAAATACCAAATTATCGAATGCTTTATATGTAGACTATATAAAATTGAAGATCCAAATTCAAATAGCAAATTATCGAACTTCTTTATATATAAACTATACAAAATTGAAGTTCCAAATTCAAAACTCAAATTATCGAACTGCTTTTTAAATAAACTATACAAAATTGAAGTTCCAAATTCAAAAATCAAATTATCGAACTGCAACTATACAAAATTGGAGTTCCAAATTCGAATAGCAAACTATTTGATTAGAAATTAGTACAGTTTAAACAAGGAAATAAGGCGTGTCAAGACAATTGACACACAAAAACAAATAGTTTCAATTATATAAAAAAAAAGAAACTCGCGTGCGTTACGTTGGGAACGCGTTCGGATTGTAAACTATTCGGTTGCGAAACTGTTATGTGAAACTAGACAAAGAGTTAGGCTCGGTACAGTGGTTTGTATGAAAATTAACTATGTGTGAAACATAGACTTAGACATTTTGTAATGAATGTAAATGACGTTTCTTTTTTTTTTTTGGCGCGTGTTTTTGTAATGTGACACATGTTTAGATCATTCAGCCGATCTTGATAATGAGTATTTAATATAAACGTTAAATTGTTCGTTATGGATATGAAAATAAATATGTGACTAATTAAGGAAATAGAGAAAGTGAAGTCATTTTGTTTGTCTGTATGTACGTGTGTTGAATATATTATATGTTAAAATTATTTATTTATTCACCTGTATGGCGACACCGTCGACCGATACGGTTATCTCGACTTTCTTGCATTTCGCCGCATCTTTTGTTTCGGATTTTTTAAGTTGTTGCGTGAACTGTAACTTTTTAATCGCGTCCTTGACTACCTCGATGCCCTTCGGTTGGTCCACCTGTGTACAGCCGAGGAACTGAAATGTGATATGAAAACTTTTTAGATTATTTATATAAAACCTCCTTAAAGAATAAACATATAAGACATAAATTTTTATTATAATTGTATACATTATAATATTTCTATTATACGTATGGTTTTGATTTTAAGTGAAGTTTAATGAAAATAATATATACATATATGTATATAGCATAAATTAAAAATATATGTCAGTTTGTAAACAAAGAGTATTATACAATCGCATTCAGTACAAATATAACCCTGATATTATATAATTATATTGCACGAACAAAACCTTCATGAGTATGAATAATCGCAAATAATATTTTATTATGCGTATTATTAGGAAAAAAATATTTTTTTCATATACAAAAATTAAGAGTTCTTTCGTCATATTATTATCTATATAAAAATTCACAAAATAATATTTTATTTATTATAAATTATGTATATATATAATATAACAGACGAAACCATTGTCAATAGCTAGTATGTTTCATTTTATAGGTTCAAAGAACTTTTTAAATGAATTCAATTTACTACGATTATCCTTTTAGTCACGAAACGTTAAAAAATATTTATTAAATAAAACAAAATTTGACTTAGCCAATAAAATTACTACACTTTTTACTTTGCGTACTACAAGTTTATTACTACGTACGTGGCGTTTACCGTTTCAATACTATATTATGTTACATATCAAAATTATGATCGGGTTAAATACATAATTACTGTAAATTATATATAAATAATTCGCTTTAAGTAATGTTATTTAGTTGAAAACCTAGTCGGTTAATTTTAAGACTAATTTAATGAGTATTCGGCGACATAAGTATACGTTTTGTGATACTAGTAAAAATATATAGGTATTATCCTATAAATTATTATAATGTTGGTATAATTCTTTCTTACTCACTATTCTTACTCATTCTCATTATTCTTATTCACTCAGTATTCTTACTCATAGTTTTCATCGTCACTATATACGATGAGTTTAAAGTTTTTCACTTCATAACTCATCGTAAATACTATATACTAGCTTTTGCCGCGGCTACGTCCGCGTGGAATAGTGACTTCCGACAGTTCCCGTACAATTTTCAGGATAAAACCTATGTTTTTTTTATTAATAATGAAGTACTCTTAACCAACAACATATTTATTTGTTTATTTGAATAAAGATTAATATTACTATGTTGATACAACTTAAACAAATTATTTCTACAAAATTAGGTACCATAAAAACGGTTTTTGTGAGTTAATCTTAAAAGATAGACATATACTATCGCGGACTGTTTTTTAGATCATTAAAAGAGCTATTATTCTTTAATACATATTTTTTGTGTATCTTGAACCGTTTTCACGGCGCACGCAACGGAAGGCTTCAAAGATGAAATAATTTCTCCCGTTTTTTACACATTTACCACTATATCTTTGCTCCTATTGGTCGTAGCGTGATGTTATATAGCCCACAGCCTTCCTCGATAACTGGACTATTCAACACAAAAAGAATTATTCAATGCGAACCAGTAGTTTCGGAGATTAGCGCTTTCAAACAAACAAACAAACAAACAAACACACAAACAAACTCTTTAGCTTTATAATATTAGTATAGATTATATAGGAACATATTGAATAGGTATATTGCAATAAAAAAAAAAGTAAATAAATACATACTTTTCTGGGGCCACATCATCTTCAGCCATATTTTTTTATCCGTATTTACTATATTATACATGCAAATTAATATAATAAAACAATTGACCGTCTGTTTGTAATATTAAAATAAATTCCGTCTGATCTATAAGGCTGGATCGATTTAAACATAACTTTCTCTGACAGTAAGCCGATACAGAGAGTAACTTATTAAGCATATTCATTCAGAAAATGTATTTATTTTTAATCACATATCTGATATCATCATCAGCCTTTCAGAGCCCACTGCTGAGCTGCCTCTTCTCACATGGAGAAGGTTTGAGCATTAATCACCACGCTTGCTCAAGACGGGTTGGTGATTTCAAACTTATAATTGTGAAATTATAAGTCCATGTCTCCTCACGATGTTTTCCTTCATCTGTCAGTGATGACTAAATACTCTTAGAAAGTACATATGACTCGGAAAAATCACATTGGTACTTGCCAGGATCGAACCCGCGCTCTCGTGCATGAGAGGCGGGCCTTTAACCACTAGGCTACCACTGACCCATATACATGTGTGTATATATATATATGTGTCTGTATATATATATATGACGCCATACATCAAAACACGTGTTATTTTATCAGTGGGGGGCGTTCATTGTTTATGTATTAATTAAACACGTGTATGTAAAGCATATGCTGATTATTTTATGTAAAGTATGGAATTTGGTTGTTTATTATGAGGGTACTTTGATATTTAGTACGAGTACAAATGGAACTGAATACTTACAGTTTAATACTTACAGTTTAATCGTTTCCGTTAATAGATTTTCGTTTAAGTATTTTAAGTTGTATGCAATATTTTAAGGTATTTAATATAATTAAATATTTCTATCTCCACTAATATTATAAATGCGAAAGTAAGTCTGTGTGTTACGCTTACACGCCTAAACCACTGAACTGATTTTAATGAAATTTGGTACAGACATAGAGTTGACCTTTAGAAAGAACATAGGATGGTTTTTATCCCAGACTTTTGAAAGGTTCTCTTGGAAACGCGATATAACAGAACTCCACGCGGGCGAAGCTGTGGGCGGAAAGCTAGTATCTATATTATTGTTAAAATATATTACGTTAAGAGTTTGAAATAAAACGTATTTAACGTAAATAATTAAAATCGTAAAGATTACAATTTTCAATACGTTAATATTTCCTCATGATAGTATCAGCTTTTCCGGCTTTAGATTTAATAATCTACCTTAATACTATAAAGTGAGAAGATTTAAAAATTTACGATAATATACTGTGTCTATACAAACTTATACTATTAGGGAACAAGATGGTTTTGTCCACAAAAGAAGCTAATGAAGCATAATATGTTAAGTGTATAAGCATTTATATCAAAAAGATTAATTTGTATACTTTAATGTTCCAAAAATTTATTTGTTTGAAGCATTCTTTAATCTTAAATGAAACTAATATTATTCGGATTACTACAGGGATTTTATTATTTTCAAAACTACGTACTCCCGACGTTTCGGTTACTTTTAAGCAACCGTGATCACGGACAGACGAGATGTGAGTGTATCAGAGCCCACTGCTGAGCTGCCTCTTCTCACATGGAGAAGGTTTGTGCATTAATCACCACGCTTGTTCAAGACGGGTTGGTGATTTCAAACTTATTTTGACATTATAATTCCAGGTTTCCTCACGATGTTTTCCTTCAACTATCAGTGATGTCTAAATACTCTTAGAAGTACATATGACTCGGAAACATCACATTGGTATTTGCTAAGATCGAACCCGCGTCCTCAAGCACGAGAGGCGTTTAACCTCTGTAATTCTTTGATCTTATTAAATTCTATGTGTTTTTTGTACTCACTTTAACTAAATATGCAACGTGTCCTTTGACAAGGGCGTCAGGGGCGTGGATCCAGTTTCGACCGTTGGCGCCATTGGTCTTGCCCTTACCCTGCCAGAACAGCAGGGTCGACATTCTGAAACAAAATAAATTAGGTTTAATTAATGTTATCTACACCTGGTTAGGTAGAGAGAGGAGCTTGGACAGTGGAGGTAAGCGTATAACGCGTTAGATAGGGATCCCTTAAACCTACACCTGGGTCACAAGTCCCAGTCACTGTTGAAGCTCCTCTCACTACAACGATGGACCCGACACACGCACCGTGAATACATGGAATGATGAGAAGTTTTGTCTCTAATTGACCTTTTTTTCAGAAAGAGTGAACATTTCTTCTCGTAAGCGTAAGAGAAATGAATTCATACTCTTTTAATGTAATATAGTAAAAATAATTTTTGGTTAATGATCGGTCCTAGAAAAGTATTATTTGAATGAAATAATATATTTTTAAATTAGAGATAATACAACCAAAAAGGGACTATAAAAATGAATGTTACATACATTCTTATAACCGAAAGAAAATAACAATAAAATTGTTTTATAGTTATTTCGTAACGAACAGACAAACAAACATACGTCACACAGAAACTTCCACCACTTCCACCATTTTAATAAGTTGAACACAGTGGAAAACCCCAATAAAAATTTAAATTCCAATAGTTATGCATACTTTTTCTATTAGCAATACGAATTATTATAATAAATTATAGCAAGAATTACATTTAATTATATTTAAATGTATAATCATTATTAATTATAGGCTCATTAAATGTATAAGTGTAATAATTATATAATGTATATTATACATATTATATATTCCATTATTCAAGAATACCTCGTATAAAACTGTCTAGGTACTAAGAACTATGTACTAGATTGAATTCTAATTAGTTTATACTGCGACTTTGTCTGTGATGATTTCGGATTTAAGGCTATAGAGAAATGTATAAAGCAGCCTAGTGGTTAAAATGCCCGCCTCTCATGCATGAGGGCGCGGGTTCGATCCTGGCAAGTACCAATGTGATTTTTCGGAGTCATATGTACTTTCTAAGAGTATTTAGACATCACTGATTAATTAATTCCCAAAGAGGATTGGTGTCAGGCAGGCGGCCGGTCGTAAAAACAATTAGCCACAACTATTCACAACATGTAAGGCAGATCCTGGCTATAGCTGGGAAATTGCCAGGTAGAAGAAGAAGGAATGTATTTAAGTATAGACCTCTATAGTATGTGTCACGTAACTTCATACACTATACAGGGTGACTGGTGAATTACTGTCGATATTTGAGGACGTGATATTTGACGATCATATATGACAAAATAAAAATTAATATAACATAAATATTAATAAACTTCTAAGTAAAGTTAACCAAAAGTTATTTATTATGATTTTTTACTGCAGTAAATGTCAGCCTATATCCTATTCTGATACCTTAGCTATATTACTGTTAAGTTTCATCAAAATCTGTTTTGTAGTTTTTGCGAGAACGAGCAACAAACATACATACATAGTCACAAACTTTCGCACTTATAATATGTATAAGTAAAAAGAAGAATTTTTATCCTTTTACAAGCAATGATTGAGACTTCAAAGGAAACTTTAATAACAATATATATATATATGTATGAGAAAAGATCCTGCAATATTTAAACATGGCTCCAAGAATTTGGTCCCTTCACATCAGAGGCATTCAAAGCTCGTGAGTCTTTATAACAATTAATCAATCACGAATACCATTTATGCGAACACACCCTTATATATAATATATATCTAATGATTTCATTAATTCACAGATACAATCTAGCATCACGATCTATCAATGTGTATGTAATACACACACACACACACACACACACACTCAAATGGTTTGTGTATTATGTAACTCTAAAAAAGGTTTCCACCTTTGAGGTTTTATGTAATGAATGATTTTTTTTATTTTGAATCGAAATAGTTTACATAAAACTTCTTATTAATTGAAAAAGTTTATGTTATTGAATAAAAAAATATTAAAAAATAAGTTCTTATTTCTTGAAATATAGGTTATATTTTTGTGTGAAATTAAATAAAATTTTAATTAATTATAATATTTTTACTTTATTAAATAGTCAGTCCTTATTCAATAATTTTGTGAACATCCTGTGATCATTAAGTATTGACGTCGCTTAAACAATATTGTTATAAAAACTTTTCTAAGAATATTCTATAGAATTTTCCTTATCCGATGTTGAATTTTGTTTTGTATGTTTGAAATTCAAAATATACATATATATATATATATATTCTAAATCTAAACCTAAATGCCAGTCAAAGCTTGCATTGTATTAAAAAAACATTTATGATATATATGTATTCATTCAATGTAAAATATAATAATAATTCTGATGTATAAATTATTTTAATTAATCAAAAAGATACTATGAAAAACAAAGTTAAAAATCATATCAATTCTTCTAATATAAGCAGTATTATTAATAATTTAATTGTATTTACTTCATAGAAAACTTAAAGTATAACAGTTTAGGTTCACGATTAAAACTATCGTATATAGCACTTGCTAATAATTGCGTATTTTTATCCTTAGTACAAGTTTCCATACTACTAAATACGAAGTATATCCCGTTTCTAATTCAATAAACTACCTTAAAAACTATTAACGCGAAGTAAGTAGTGTATCAAACATATGGTAGGGACATTTATTATGAATTAACATTATCTTGTAAACTATTAAGAGGATTTCTTGGTTTTTCTCTATTACCTTATAAACATATTCATGTATTAATTATAATACAGATGGTCGACCATATTGTGAGGTTTTCCCAGACGTTTGTTTTGCGACGTTATTATTTTAATATTCTACGTTATATTTAAAGATTTATTTATATATATACCTATATATAAGCAATCCCTATTTTTTGTATTCTTTGAAGCTTTGAATTAAGATATTTGCATGGTAAATTAGAAAAAAACCATTATTTATAAAACCTTTTTTTAATATACTCTTTGCTAAAAGCGTTCTAAATAACTGTCAGTTGTGTGACATTAGTTTGACAGTACTACTGACAGGTTCAACATTATTTACATAATTCTAAAGTTATACATATTAGTGTTTATTAATTGTATTTGTCTGAATCAAGGACTTTATTCTAATAGTCTATGGTCGGTATGAATGGCTATTTAGCTTGTATATTATAAATTGAAGTCTATGGATTTTCTTTAAAGTACGTGGAATTATACTTTATAAGTTGCATATACATAATTTCATATTTCTATGAATAACCCACCATGCCACTGTTAAATAGAGAGGCGGGTTAATTATAAATACTACTAATTTATATTCTTTTTTATTCGGGCTAAATAATAAAACTAATCCAAAGAATGTACCAGGGCTACATAATCGAAGAGAAGTTTACCTTTGCACTATACAAGTGGTCTATCCGTAACCATGTTCTATAAATTGACAGCAGGTAAAAATAAATCTTAATTCCATACAAATTGAGTTCCATTTCCTTTGTTAAATGTATCACTAGTAACATTTTATTTAAGAAGATATTCTCACCCATTCAAGAGCATAATCACCTTATTGCTCTTAATATAAAGTCGAAACTGGCCTGTACCGGGACAAAGTAGTGACGTTGTAAAATAAGAGAGGTCCGTACTTAGTACGGGCTGTTGTAAGCGAAAATGAATCTTATTGTGTTCGAATTGAGTTAAAACTGGTTTGTATTGTAGGTCAGTTGTGGCGTTCCAATTTTAAAATACATCCGTACTTAGTACGGGCTGACACGGCAGCACACTGATGCAAGTGTGCGTTCATTCACACTGGCCTAAGGATGTGATATTAATGTTATTGTCAATTCAATATATCGATAGTTTATAATATGTTTAGGGATTTTTTTATGAATTTTAAACTAAGATATTAGAAGGTCGTATTTAACTATGTTGTTGACAATAAGACAATATATTTGTATTTTGTTTAGGTAATAAAATTTATCGGACACGCTTTAAGAGTTTTGTTTCCTTGTAATTACGTAATCGGAAACCTTTAAAATATTGTACTATCATTGTTTCCAATGTTGCTTACATTTTTCATAGTTGCATATTAATGTAGAAAGACTTGTAAAATACCATCTATTGTAACATAAAATATCGATATCGATAGCGCGCGGTATGTATGTATGTATGTGTGCTATCCTCTGGCTATAGCAGGAAAAACTGGTGATAAGCGGAATTCTGTATGGGTCGTATCTGTTAGATTTAACAGTGTACTGATTTGCTGTTTCATCACGTTTTTATAACTACCTAGTTTAAATGATCTCTATAATATAAAGTATATTTATATTTATACTTGAAAGTATTAAAATAAAAAAAATGTCGAGTTATTTTTATCCTTTTCATTGACAAAGTGACAAGCGAACATATACCGTATTTATGAGCAGTTTAAGTCTATTTATGTAAAACATGCAAAATGCAAATCACATTTGCACCGTTTGAATGTGAACGACCGCAGTAACAGCTGTTTATAAACTCTTCCGTGTATATACATATGTATATATAAAAAATAAATTTAATTTATTTATATAGACATATCGATAATGACTCATTAATGGTGAACTACATCACTATTGTTAAATTGTTTATTTTGAAAATATATTTAGAATTCCATTTTTGAATTAACGGATTAACCTCAAGTTTCAAGCTTTCTAACTATTGTCTTTGTTCTAACTTTTTCTTACTGGCCTCTATTTTCTTAATTATTCTTTGAACGATACATAAAAGGTCATCCCTTTGAAAGGCTCCATATTTTTAAGTAAAAATAATACAGTTTTTTAATTAAATATATACATAAAACTATCATATAAAATAAATATTCCGCTGTCTTGTAAGATGTAAGATTAAATTTTTAATCTCAAAATAAATCTACTTAATGCTGGCCACTTATAATAATGTACATATAAAAAAAAAAGTAAAATATTGTTCAAATAATAATAAATATGAATGCCAGTTGCGAGTTCAGTATCGTGCAGTGATAACGCCATGCTTGTCCGTTACTCCCCCACAAATGCTCGGACATGATTTCA